AGCGCGCTCCTGGCCGGCCCCCGGCACAGACCGCCCCGCAGCCAGGTCGCAAAACTGCGTTTTAATTCCGCGGTGCCAACCGGACTCGTGCCGAAGTCGAGAGGGCACAGCACGCACTGTGGCAGGCAGCCGCGCGAGGCTTTCCAATAGGCAGAGTTTTCTAGCAGCCGAAACTAAAATTATAAGTAACTCTGATCTGTTTCTGCCGGGGAAGGGGGAGGAGGGAATGAGACTGGGAGCAGTTCAAATAACTGTTGCTGAGAAAATGATGATGCTGGATACAGGAAGTTACGGATACCAAAAATAAGACACAGCCAAGCAGTTGGCTTGAAGGGGGAACAAAGAAAAATAGAAAACTGACAGAAAACTTGTAAAGTAAAATTGAATTTGTTCACAGCTGTGCATTCCCTCCTCGGGTCTAACCTGGAATAGCTCTATAGCTGGAATCCCAGCTGTGAGAGAAAGCACTTTAAAATTACAATAAAAACTTTTTTTGGCTGCAAAATCTATTTTGATTAGACTTAGAGGTGAAGTCATTCAGAGAAGAAGCATTAGAGTCCCATGAAAACGGGAGGTGCAACGCGCAGGCTGTTTGGCGCGGGGTTCAGACGTGCCCGTCACTTAAGGATCCGGACACTCGTCGGAGAATGCAGGAGCTGAGGGTGTGCCAGATTCGGAGCCGAACCGGAAAGAAAGCGAACAAAACCAGGCATCTGTAATTAAGCAAATGTTCTATCCTTCTGGAAACGAAAGAGTGAGACCTCACTGAGAAGGCAGGAGCTATTAGAAACATCAAAAAGCAGGTTCAGGCTGAGAGGGGTCTATAGCTGCAGCAAAATGGAAACTGCTGCAAGAAAGTGGTCGTTTTCCGGAAGAGCAAAACTCTGAAGCGTCCACGCAGAGAGTGGAAGGCAGAAATTCCCCGCTGGAGAGTCTGATGCAGAAGCCAGCTATTGAAACTAAAATTAAATATGTAGTGGGACAGTAAGTCTTATCTTTTTAAATAAAGCACCATAGCAAGAAGCACACGGTCTGAAGCCTGCCTCCATAGGCATCTTGCAGAATGCATGTTTTTTTAATTAAATAACTGACTGTCCCAGTTTTGGTATGGAGGGCTGGTAAGAGAGAAACTTTGAAATTAATAGCGTGCACTGTATATTTACTAAACATATCTATCAGCAAATACATATATTAATAACAGAGAGGGGGGTTTTCTTAAGAGCTCTTAACATATGTATACGCTGCAAAATGCACTCCCAGTTTGAGGTCCTTTTTCATTTATCTGTTTACAAAATACCATGCTAAAATCACCAAACATAGAATCAGGCCCTGATCCTGACTCAAGAATTAAAGAATGCCTAAGGATATGGAAGAAAGCTGTTTGTACTGCTTCGTGCCATTTCAGTTATGCGTGCGTTATGTGCCCTAAACTGACTCTCTCACACATTAATATAAGGGGAGATACACAACCTACAGACTTTGTTTGCTCACCAGAATACCTCCCCTCCTTCTGCTCCCCAGTCAAGCAGCAGCCAGATGCGAATATAGCCTCAGACCTGTGCAACTGCTTGGTTAAATGGCTTTACTGATCCCTGCACAAAGCAAGGAGCCAGTGTTTTGATGACAGAAGTTATGAAATAGGAAGTTATTGAAAACAACAACAAATTTCAACATGTATTCAGTAGTTTCACTCCTTTTTATATCAAGAACGTTTAAAAAAATCAGACTTTTTTGCTTTGTAGTTTCTTCCTTCTTTGTCTTCTATGAATATTAAAAAAAAATGCAGGACAACGTTTTGAGGTCTGTGGAAATGATCACTTAAAAGCTCATGTGCAAGCTGTGGTTTTTAACCCTTCAGTGGGTTTGCACAGAGTTGCTGTGGTTAACAATGCCCAGTTTTGGGGCTCTCTGATGCTG